GTGTCTGTGTGTGTGTGTGTGTATGTGTGTGTTGGAACTTTAAACGTAACAATATAACACATTTCTGTGTGTGTCAGTGTGTGTGTGTAGTGTATTTATTATGGGACTTTAAACTTAACACTATAACAAATTGCTGTGTGTGTCAATGTATGACAATTTTTAATGAACTGTTATAACTATCCCCACCGCAAGCAGCCATTACATAGCTAACTCTTTTAGCATGTGGGTCTGAAGTTAGCATTAATGTCTAGCATCAAATTAAACTAGAGAAATGGCTTCTTAAGATTATGCAAGTCATTTTTTTTAATCTACATTACAATGAATGCTAGGCAAAAAATCATTTTAATTAAACTGAAAACACTGCTGCTCACATGAAAACATTTTAATGCGATAGCCGAATAATATTTTCTATATTTAATACAATCACACTGGTGTTGATTAGAACGTTTATTGCGTCATACCACGCTGAGCTAGATACAGACACATTTTTACAGCGCTGCCCATTAACCAATCACACACACGATTCTGTTGAGCTTATGAATGCAATGACCAATCAGAGGTGTTCAAATCATCGCTAAAATGCCGGTGTTTTCTTCACACGCTCGCTGACTAAATACCTCTTTCTGGCGAATTATCTCGTTAAAAACAACAAACTGCAGATGTGTGTATGAGTCTGTAAGTAAGATATTCATTTCACAGTGTAAACAGCGTAAACAGCAGTTTTTAATGGGAGTTTTTGAGAGTGCTTGAACTTTAGACTGTCAGTGTAAATGTTCTTTGCTCTCTTACAATGAAAGTGTTATGATAAGTAGCTTACTCTGTTTTTATTCACATGAACTTTCAATGTTAAATTCACATTAAATATAAAGTCAGTCGTATTAAAAATATGTTATGGAATGACACCCATATCTGTTACTAAGTAAGCAGACAGGTTTTTATGTAGGCCTGGGCTAAAGTAGGCTAAATAGACTACATTATTAGGCTACTTTGACCATCGCCCACTATAGATCAACTAACTTAATCTATAAAGGTGAGAATTGAGATATTTCAAGATATAGTTAATGCGTTTGGGAATGTTTCGAATAAAAAGGAAAAAATAAAAAAATAAAGCATGAGTGCTATTGTGGCTGCTGTGTGTCACATGACACCCCTACGAGTATGCTGGCCCATGTCCGGTTGCCGAAACTGAGCCGACACTGCCGGCATTGGGCCATAATCACGCCAGCATAGATTATACAATTAGCCGGTACTGGACCGAGTCTGGATTTCAAATGGAAATGTATATGAAATACAGACCTATTTATTTGAATTTATTATTGAAAAAGTGACATCAACAAATCTGTATAAACACTATAGAAACTCCAAGAACTCTCAGGACCTCAACTTTATCCTAAAAGATGATCTTGACAAATCTGACAAAAAAATATAAAAAAGCAATCACAAAAAGATTAAAAGAAGTATAGCAGGAAGGCACATTATTAGCCTACACTATTCACATAAAATGTTGTGTAAATAAATTATTAAATTTCACTAACCAACTACAAAATCCATAGTTCATACTTTTAAAACAGATCAGATGATGCTAGACTGTAAAATAAATGAATACAATAAATAAATAAAACAGTATTGAATTGGTGGTACGTCAATACAGGGGTGTAAACGACCTAGTCAAAACCACTGAGTCAAGCAGCTCAGATCATAACTGAGGCTGAGTAGGCGCGTGCACTGCTCGCACTGACAGCACATGTGAGGCAAGCGACGACACATCTAGGTTATAAAACCTTGCGAAAGTGCTGGGTGACAACCAGCCTGCCGCCATGAAAATGTCCTGAATAAATATGCCATTTGCCCAGGCCCACGAGGATGCGAGGATGCGGTTGAATGGGCCCGAGCCCCTATAGGACATTTCACGCCTTTAGAGCTATAAGCCAAAGCAATTGCATAGACAATTCAGTGTGACAGCCTTTGCTTGGACACAGGCAGGCCTTTTGTGCACCCTCCAAAGCATACAAATAGCTGCTCTGGGAGCCTGAACTGTCTAGAGCGCTCTATATAAATGCGCACCGCACGTACAGGGCACAGCAAATGTGTATTAAGCTTAAGTTTAAATGGAGTCGAAAGAACTTTAGGCACATGACCCTTCTTAGGCTTTAAGGTGAGTCTGCAATCACCTGGCCCGAACTCAATACATGAGTCGTCAATTGACAGCGCCTGCAGGTCCCCAACTTGCTTAACAGAGGCCAGCGCTTGCAAGCTCGCTGATTGAGTGGGCTCGAACTGGATTCCCATGAGAGCGTCCAGCACAAGCGCCAAATCCCAAGTGGGCAGGGTGGAAAGGCAAGGAGGGTTCAGCCTTCTTGCCCCTTTTAATAATCGTATGATCAGGTCATTTCTGCCGATTACGCGATTATCGACGTGCGCATGGAACGCTGCCTTGGAATAATAATAATAATAATAATAATAATAATAATAATTCATTACATTTATATAGCGCTTTTCTAGGCACCCAAAGCACTTTACATTGTCAGGGGGTATCTCCTCATCCACCACCAGTGTGCAGCATCCACCTGGATGATGCGACGGCAGCCATAGTGCGCCAGAATGCCCACCACACACCAGCTTATTGGTGGAGAGGAGACAGAGTGATGAAGCCAATCAGCAGATATGAGGATTGTAAAGAGGCCATGATG